TCTATTGCAACATACCATTGCGATAGCGATAGTCTATTGCAACATACTATTGCGATAGCGATAGTCTATTGCAACATACTATTGCGATATCGATAGTCTATTGCAACATACCATTGCGATAGCGATAGTCTATTGCAACATACTATTGTGATAGCGATAGTCTATTGCACCATACTATTGCACCATACTATTGCACCATACTATTGTGATAGTGATAGTCTATTGCACCATACTATTGCACAATACAATTGTGATAGTGATAGTCTATTGCACCATACAATTGCAATAGCGATAGTCTATTGCAACATACTATTGCGATAGCGATAGTCTATTGCAACATACTATTGCGATAGCGATAGTCTATTGCAACATACAATTGTGATAGTGATAGTCTATTGCACTATAGCATGCTATTGCATGGTGATGGTCTACACTATTGCGATAGCGATAGTCTATTGCAACATACAATTGCGATAGCGATAGTCTATTGCAACATACTATTGCGATAGCGATAGTTTATTGCAACATACCATTGCGATAGCGATAGTCTATTGCAACATACCATTGCGATAGCGATAGTCTATTGCAACATACTATTGCGATAGCGATAGTCTATTGCAACATACTATTGCGATAGCGATAGTCTATTGCAACATACCATTGCGATAGCGATAGTCTATTGCAACATACTATTGCTATAGCGATAGACTATTGCAACATACCATTGCAATAGCGATAGTCTATTGCAACATACTATTGCGATAGCGATAGTCTATTGCAACATACCATTGCGATAGCGATAGTCTATTGCAACATACTATTGCGATAGCGATAGGCTATTGCAACATACCATTGCAATAGCGATAGTCTATTGCAACATACTATTGCGATAGCGATAGTCTATTGCAACATACCATTGCGATAGCGATAGTCTATTGCAACATACCATTGCGATAGCGATAGGCTATTGCAACATACTATTGCGATAGTGATAGTCTATTGCACCATACTATTGCAACATACCATTGCGATAGCGATAGGCTATTGCAACATACTATTGCGATAGCGAAAGTCTATTGCAACATACCATTGCGATAGCGATAGTCTATTGCAACATACTATTGCGATAGCGATAGTCTATTGCAACATACTATTGCGATAGCGATAGTCTATTGCAACATACAATTGCGATAGCGATAGTCTATTGCAACATACCATTGCGATAGCGATAGCGATAGTCTATTGCAACATACCATTGCGATAGCGATAGTCTATTGCAACATACTATTCCGATAGCGATAGTCTATTGCAACATACCATTGCGATAGCGATAGTCTATTGCACCATACTATTGTGATAGCGATAGTCTATTGCAACATACTATTGCAACATACAATTGCGATAGCGATAGTCTATTGCAACATACTATTGCAACATACAATTGCGATAGCGATAGTCTATTGCAACATACCATTGCGATAGCGATAGTCTATTGCAACATACAATTGCGATAGCGATAGTCTATTGCAACATACTATTGCAACATACAATTGTGATAGCGATAGTCTATTGCAACATACTATTGCAACATACAATTGCTATAGCGATAGTCTATTGCACCATACTATTGCGATAGCGATAGTCTATTGCAGCATACCATTGCGATAGCGATAGTCTATTGCAACATACTATTGCGATAGCGATAGTCTATTGCAACATACCATTGCGATAGCGATAGTCTATTGCAACATACAATTCCGATAGCGATAGTCTATTGCAACATACTATTGCGATAGCGATAGTCTATTGCAACATACAATTGCAATAGCGATAGTCTATTGCAACATACAATTGCGATAGCGATAGTCTATTGCAACATACCATTGCGATAGCGATAGTCTATTGCACCATACTATTGCGATAGCGATGTATGTTGTAATAGTATGTTGCAATAGACTATCGCTATCGCAGTAGTATGTTGCAATAGACTATCGCTATCGCAGTAGTATGTTGCAATAGACTATCGCTATCGCAATTGTATGTTGCAATAGACTATCGCTATCTCAGTAGTATGTTGCAATAGACTATCGCTATCGCAATTGTATGTTGCAATAGTATGTTGCAATAGACTATCGCTATCGCAATAGTATGGTGCAATAAACTCTCGCTTGCGATAGCGATAGTCTATTGCAACATACAGTTGCGATAGCGATAGTCTATTGCGACCAATTCCCAAATGAATGTATAGTTTATATGAAATAAAAACAAGCTGAAGTAGTTTCAGTCTCTGTAAAAAACTGACAAGAAACTTGAAACACAGATCAAGGGTGTTAAGGAGGTATCGGGGCCTATAACTCTAAATCAAAGTGAACGAATCTGGTACTGCGCATTTGTCAACGGAAGTCAATTACTAAACTATCGATAGTCACACATACTATCGATGCATCGTTTCGTTTCCACCATCGATTAATTGCTATCGGAGACTCAACAATTGCAATCGATCGATAGTTCGATGCATCGTTACAGCCGTAACACACAGACATGATTGTGGCATGATTCTGTCAGTTCCCCACCCAACAGACCAGTAGCTGTCTGATATCAGCATGCTATGAACGTTGGTCAACGGGGTGTACAGCAATATGCAGTTGGTGTACTTGGAAAGCTTGGAATCTCTAGCTTTACAAAACCGATGTTTCTAGACTAAAACATACTAGACTAATACTACAACATACATATTCACTATGAATAGATATTTGATCAGTTTTTAGAATGTATGTCTTGCACCAGGCACATTTGCATCAACTGACTTTAACAAAATGAAGGTCAAAAGTCAAGGTCAAAGGAATCGGATTTATGGCTTTTCTAGCCTGAAAAATATTTATTGTACACAAACCTGGGTGAGGCCAAGTGGGGAATTCTAACTAACTAACTAACTAACTAATAATTCTACTAATAATAATAATGAGAAAAACTAACTCTCTCTCTCTCTATCTCTCTCTCTCTCTCTCTCCTCCCTCTCTCTCTGCTGCCTAAACCTATCCCAACAGACCAGTAGCTGTCTGATATCAGCATGCTATGAACGTTGGTCAACGGGGTGTACAGCAATATGCAGTTGGTGTACTTGGAAAGCTTGGAATCTCTAGTTTTACAAAACCGATGTTTCTAGACTAAAAATGTCAGACAAACTATCGTTTTGGAGCGTTGTGACCTTGCCATTGTGGAAAGAATACTACAACATACATATTCACTATGAATAGATATTTGATAAGTTTTTAGAATGTATGTCTTGCACCAGGCACATTTGCATCAACTGGCTTTAACAAAATGCAGGTCAAAAGTCAAGGTCATAGGAATGGGATTTATGGCTTTTCTTGCCTGAAACTATTTTTTTATTATACACAAATCTGGGTGAGGCCAAGTGGGGAATTATAACTAACCAACTAACTAATAATTCTACTAATGACGATAATGAGAAAAACTAACTCTCTCTCTCTCTCTCTCTCTCTCTCTCTCTCTCTCTCTCTCTCTCTCTCTCTCTCTCTCTCTCTCTCTCTCTCTCTCTCTCTCTCTCTCTCTCTCTCTCTCTCTCTCTCTCCTCCTCTCTCTCTCTCCTCTCCTCTCTCCTCTCTCTCTCTCTCTCTCCCTCCCTCTCTCTCTCTTTCTCTCTCCTCCCTCTCTCTCTCTCTCTCTCTCTCTCTCTCTCTCTCTCTCTCTCTCTCTCTCTCTCTCTCTCTCTCTCTCTCTCTCTCTCTCTCTCTCTCTCTCTCTCTCTCTCTCTCTCTCTCTCTCTCTCTCTCTTCTCTCAGATATTGTTTGTAGCACTGTTATGACGAACGTGTCACCTACCTTGTGATGGTAATGCTTTAGTACTTGATTGTATAATTGCTATTCATGGATTGTCTGATTAGGGTTATGAGGGTGACGGTTTTCCCAAGTCAAAACATTGATTACACAGCAGTCTCGTTTCCTGCTGACTGGGTTCCTTCCTATTGCGCAACTTAGTACAATAACCAGTTCAGAATTTGAAACCAACTCATTCAACTGGATACGTAAATATTAATCAGCATTAGTTGATACATCTAATTACTTGTATATTGCAACACTACGCTCCTTCTAGTCCTTGCAAACACGTCGTACAGCGTGCTCCCTCGTACAGCGTGCTCTGACAAACGGAAATCTGGAAATCGTGGAAATCTCAAAACGAGGCTCGGTCGCTAGGAAAGTTTGGCGGTACGGTCTTAATATTATATAAATCATATTGTACGTTACATTTAATGAGCGCAAAGAACACATAACAGGTGTAACCGTGTAGCCAGATGCATTGTGAATCATTGTACGACCTCGTCAAACAGGGGCAATCTGTGACGTCTTAGTTAACGACATGCTGCCTAAACCTCGACCTAAAATATAGAAATACGATTTTCTTAAACTTTAAAATTAACACTAGTTTGTAAATACCATTTCCTTATTAAAAACAAGGAATTGGAATTCAGTGTAACCATAGTTGTTTGTAGTGTCTCTTTTCACTTTCACACGAGAAAATTCGGATAGGCTGAAAAGTAGGTCATTGTCTGAATTGGTTCATGAGACTGATGTTTCGGTTTGGCTATCACATCTGTTTTTTAACGCCATATTCAGCAATGCAGCTGCAGTTTCAGAATGTTTCGTTAATATTATTATACGCCTTGCTTCACCTCGTGGAATTCTATTGTAATTGACAAAGGTAATACAACCATGAACTATCCTTTCATTCGTGACTTTAAATTATAATCTACTGGAAACTAAAAAAGGAACACATGAAAGAACATTTGTTGCTATATTCATTTCCAGTTTGTTTAGCTCTTCGTTGCAATGTAAGTGAAAATCTGGAAATGCTCAAAGGAATATTTGTACTTTCATATGTTCCCGCATTCGCTTCCACCAGTGTATATTTGAATGTACCATTACAGTCTTTATCTATCGCTCACTCATTTATATGTTTTGTTTCATATGCCATTCAGGTTCAGGCATCAAAGACTCTGATCTCAAAGCAGCGACATCATGGACGGCAAAGTAAACGGCAACTCCACCATGGCCACTGGGTCTCCAAATTCCCACATGTTCCACATCGCCGACTATGCCATGTTCGGGGCTACGCTACTGATTTCTTTGGGTATTGGCATTTTCCAAGCATTCCGAGACAGAAAGAAACAGTCAATGTCCGAATATCTCGTGGCTGGCCGTAAAATGGCCATCATTCCTGTCGCTGTGTCGTTGCTGGTGTCGTTCGAGTCCTCCATCTTGATGCTCGGCATGCCGGCGGAGGCTTATGTCTATGGCATCCAGTACCTCATTGGCACCCTAGGGTTCAGTCTTGCCATCCTCCTGGCTGTGTATATGGTAGTGCCAGTCATTCACCCGCTCAAACTGACCAGCGCCTATGAGGTAAGTGCAACTATTACTACTACTACTACTACTACTACTACTACTACTACTACTACTACTACTACCACCACCAATTTTTGGAGTAGTCCCGTGAAGATCCGGGTTAGAATTAGTCTTCAGCAGCCCATGCTTGTCGTAAGAGGGGACTGATCGGATCGGGTGGTCAGGCTCTCTAACTTGGTTGACACATGTCATCGTATCCCAAGTGCTATAATGGTGTTAATCACTGGAGTGTCTGGTCCAGGCTCGATTATTTACAGACCGCCGCCATATAGCTGGAATATTGTGGCGTTAAACAACAACAACCAACCAAACCAAACTAAACCGTTAGGATGAAGTTCGTAGTCTCTATCAAAATCATAATATTTTCAGAGACTAACAATTAGTCTAGTTTTGCTGTACTGTGAGATGACAGAGATATGCTCCTGTCTCATACGTAGTCATAACAAGCTTCCGGAAATGTCCACAATGCTGGAAAGGTCAATTCTGGTTTTCCCTGATTGACCCCCAAACCGTTTAAACACAACACCTTCCACACTACTGTGCCTTACTTGATGTCAGCAGAAACAATGTAATACAATTAAAACATTATTTTACATCAGATGTTAGACGTTGGGAAGTACAATATTGAACAAGCTTTATAGATACCTTCCTGCTTGACAACGGTACATATAGCTGAAATATAGCTGGAATATTGCTGGAATATAGCTGGAATATTGCTGCGTGTGGCGTTAAACAACAAACCAACCAACATTTCTGGTATCCCCCGCTGTGATATTGCTGGAATCTTGCTAAAAGCGGCTTAAAACTAAATTCACTCATCCACTGTGTCAACTTCTTTATTAAGAGGAACACGACGTTTCGGAGTATATTCTTACTCCTTAATCAGGTGAATGAAAAACAAGGAAGGAGATAGTTATATCAGTACATGTGAAACAACAGCAGTGATGAGATGGCAATAGTGGGCGCTTAAAGGCACATGTCACATAGTTTCGACAATATTTTAGCCTATATTATATGCATTTGGGGTATATGCACTCACTTTAGCTTCCTATTGATGCAATAAAAGACTGGTATCCCTTACGAATTGCCTAAAATCGATAAATGAAACTTCGAGGTGAAAGTAAATTATCTGGCAGCTGATAGTTAGCATTATTGCTAGAAATGAATTATTTCATTTTAGTAAATTGTGGTATGATATAGTGCCTTTAAAAAGGAACTTTACTTATCAATTCCAGGCAAGTCGTAAGGCATAATAAGTCTTTTATTGCATCAGGAAGCTAAAGTGAGTGCATATGCCCTAATGTATATCTTATAAGCCAAAATATTGTCGAAAATATTGCCTTTAAGCTGCAAGCCGTGAAATCACTGGAATACTGTTAAAAGTGGAGTCAAACCCGTCACTCACTCACTTGTCACAATTGCAGTATCTGGAACTGAGATTCAAGTCAAGACTGGTGCGGACGGTGGGATCTGTACTGGGAATTATCAGCTATGTAAGTATCAAGTTATTGTTCCAGTCAAATCATCTTAAGGGGATGTTCCCATTTCGCCTACATCCCATTTCGCATACATCCCATTTCGCCTACAGTAATTGAGGATGGCAACTCATCCACCCCTCATTCAGTGAATGGGATGGCCCACATTTCCTGCTCAGTGTCGTCAAAAGAATATGTTCACTGTCTTGTTTTGTTATTTTATTAATTAAAGTGGTTTGTTGCTTAATAACGCATCACCAGTTTATACATTGCCGACCGACGATTTGACCTTCCTGGCAAGGCAAGAGCGGGACTTGCACATTGCATGGAGACAGCCTATTTATTTATTCATTCATTCATTCATTTATTCAAGTTACTTATTTGAGTGGCATTTAGAAGTTGGTGTGATGAACAGCGAGAAGAGTTCTATGGATATACAACTTCTTTAATATAATATGAGCGACGTTTCGGTGTAGCTACTGACACCGTTGTCAAGCAAGTGTAACATCTAATATTAATAAACGTTGCTCATATTAATATTAAGGACGTTGTTTATCCGTAGAACTCTCCTCGTTGTTCATTCATTCATTCATTCATTCACCTTCATCCCACTCATTGCCCAACGTTCCTCGACTATCACATGGTCGGTGTCTTCTCTGTATAGCGATGCTAGGTACACACCTGTCTTCCAGTATAAATGACGGTTAAGTGCAACTGAACCTTTTCCACACCGATAACTAATCTCTGCAGAGTAGATAAAGCAGGGCAGATTTACGATTCCGACGATATCTTCAGCATGAAAACGTCAGGGTACCCTGCCCCATCTTGACAGGCAAGTCACTTGTTCACATGAAACAAAACAGAAACATATGGTAGATATCCCGTTTCACCTCTCCAGCATCCGACCTCTACAACTAGGTATGTGCCATCACACCTAGAAACGTCTCTGTTGACCCAGATTTCGAATTGCAGCGGTCTTAACACGCTCGATCAGAATGGACTTTAACAATATTCCACAAATGTTGTCCCCTTTGTTCCTGAACCAGCTGACTGCACCAAACAATTGGATTAAAATGTATACATGTTTTGTCCAACGTTACAACCCTGTGAACACTACTTATCCTCCACGGGATCGGGAACTATTTTAGGAAGCAGCGACAGAGGGAACACTACCTTTTCACAGGTTCATCATTTTCTACAAACCCTTTTTCTTCATCAAAATCGATGGTCAAGATTAGTGTTTATGGTTATGACAATACAATGATGTTTGATGTACAATCATCTGTATATCGACTATATAATACGATTTTATTATTGAGCTAAGATTAGATTTTAAAAACGCCGTGATCATCCTGTTTGCTGATTTAATCACTTTATATCGATACCTCTTAAGTCGGAATGACGTTCAATCGTTTCTGCACGATGGAGAAACCTGTGATTTCACAGACACAGGAAGTGTTTGTCTCGTCGCATTTCTTTGTTTTGGGGTTTGTTTTTTGTTGTTGTTTTTTGTTGTTTTTTAAATTAGATCAGGTTATGTGAAATGACAAGAGTAAAAGTCACCAAAGAAAATATCAACTTTCCCGATTTGTTACGTCAAGAAGACTAGGCAGTTCTTATGTGAAGGGGCGGTGGGATAGCCTAGTAGTTAAAGCGTTTGCTCGTCACGCTGAAGACCCGGGTTCGGTTCCCCACAATGTGGGTACAATGTTTGAAGCCCATTTCTGGTGTCCCCCGCCGTGATATTGCTGGAATATTGCTAAAAGCGGCGTTAAACCATGCTCGCTTACTCACTCCTATGTGAGATGTAAACTGAAAACGTATGTGATTATTTACGCGGAGAATGGTTGTCAAGTTGAACGTAAACGATTCTCCTGTTTGTGCCCAATCTAATATCTTGTGTATTCATTTTCTCCGCTACAACGGGTATTCTTCTGTTGGAGAGATTCATTTGCGGAAATTTACACCACATTTTCAGGGAAAGGAAAGTCAAAACGTTACATGACGTTGTCCGATATTAAACGACCTTCGTATGTACATGATAAGTCGACAAAGTATGCTAATACATGTAACAACGAATCCGTTTAACAGATATCGGTCCGTCCACAGGAGGTCAAGACAGGTCACTTTCAAGAGTGGTCTTCCTCATGTGCACGGATGAACTCGGAAACACACCAAAAACATTCTTGTTGACTGTGGACTGTACTAGGGACGGAATTTAGATGTCTTACTCTTCCCATATAATACAATGTATGTCTCTACCTAAACCTCACACACTGATCAAACGGCCTTTGGAAGGTTGATTCTGTTTAACTTTAACAAAACAACACCAACAGTCATGTATTTCTTATAGATCAACCTCAATTGTTTAGAGTGACACAGAGAATGTTTCAGAACTGACATAAACTTTGTGTTCATTACAGTGTGAACAGTCAAAAATTAAGGGAGTCCTTTATATTTACAGCGACCTCAAATTATCCGCCTCTGGTTTTTCAGTAACCGACCAATCAAACGTCGAGATAACGTAAAGGAAATTGACAAGGGAAATTTATCCACCGGTGGTTTTAATGGGCATGGGATATCCCTTCCCCTGAAAATAGTTTTTATTCTTTTGCCAGCCAGTGTTTGAATGTTGAATTTCTCGCAACCTCTCTTGACATTTATGGAACTAGCCTCCATACTGCTGATATCGCTGTGCCAACACTGAGGCTGATTTGTAACTCCCATTCTGATTGGTCCGTTACATGTAGTAAACCAAGGGCGGGTTATTTGGGATCTTGAGAATGGATTTTAATGTTTGAGTAGATTTACCGGGCCCGGAAGATGTGGACGGTGGGAACGAGGGACCAAATTGTATATACGTCAGAGTCTAATTTCAAATCTAAGTTCAGAGAATACACCTCTTCAACACACAGTGTGCGACTTCTTTCGTAAGGATGACAAATTCTTCCCAACCGGATGCTATAAATGGAATCTCTTGTTCTAGGTGTGGTATATGGGTGTTGTGCTGTTCGGCCCAGCTCTTGCTCTTGAGGCAGGCAAGTATACGTGGCAACTTTGGCATCTTGCCACTCGAGTACCAAGTTCGTCGTGTCTCCATGTTATTATGATATGTACCCTTTGCCCATTGGCAGCCTTAACTTCGTTACTTGCCTGGTTTTCGGAATTATACCACTGTGGTATTGAACTTCAAATATTTATATTGCGTCGTCTACTGTAGCAACACTTTCATGATTCAATTGATGCAACGATGTCACAAGCTCTCTCTCTCTCTCTCGTGTTCAGAAGAGGCATTGATATCGGTTGTTGATTTCAAGCTCTAAATAAACCAGTGGGAAGAGAAACTGAGCTGGTGACGTCACTTACTAAAATGACATGGGGTTGATCATACAAGCATGGAGATCGACTTTACTGAATAATGTAAGATGAGGCAACGTCAGATATATTTCTTAATGTCTGTGTTTCAAAGCCTCTGTTTACCTCATTGTATTGGCGAAAGAATCTTTATCAAAACACAATTGAGTTACGTTCCTTTGTAATTTTGAGAATGGAAAACAAATGTCGCCCAGTGCACTCAATTGTATCCGGTGACTTACAGCCGGTGAACGTTTGAAGAACACAGAGTGGGTCAGTGGCATGGCGCACCTTAGAGCAGAACAAGAAACTAGTATCCGTGCTACAGTGACAGGACTGACAACAGTCAGGGGGAGAGAACTGACAGTATTAGGAGAGGAAAACCGATGTGACCGCGTCCATTCAAGACAAATACACAATGCAGCGACGACGTATCCGATCTAGATTAGACCAAGTGTGGTTGTTAAATCTGGTGATGATTATTATGATTAAGTGTCGTCTCTCAACGGGGCGGGAGGGTAGCCTAATGGTTAAAGCGTTGGATCGTCACGCCGAAGACCCGGGTTCGAATCCCCACATGGGTACAATGTGTGAAGCCCATTTCTGGTGTCCCCCCGCCGTGATGTTGCTGGAATATTGCTAAAATCGGCGTAAAACCAAACTCAGTCAGTCAGTCGTCTCTCAACAGAATGCAATATCTATACAAGGTATCCAGAAAATATTACAGCCAGATTTAACCCACTGTATTTGCGGATTTAGCTACTTCACTTCTCGGCTGTTCGTATTGCTGGGGGGTTACTTATATTTCCCTTGTTGTCATTAACTCCCCTGCAATTCAGATCACAGATGGCAATAGTGCGTTGCAATGTAGAGCTGAATGACATGGCGACAACAGCCGACTGACAACCGGAGCTCACTCGCGTGGTGACCAGAGCCGACAGACAGAGCGACAGAGCCGACTGACTTGGTCACCAAAGGTGACTGAATTGGCGACTATTGCTGACAGGCTGACCGGGCTCTGTAACTAGGCTAATCGTTATGCTTAGCCTAGGATCCTTGCTCGTGATTTCAGCCAACGATTTGCCGGACTGATCCCGGCATCACATGCGACCGTGGTATTCAGTAAGTGAGGGTAGCAGTATAACACGGCAGCCTGGTCGATTAATGGCTACAGTATTGCGTCTGGAGTATTGTCCACTGTGGCAGCTTTCTCTCAAACGTTGATTTCTTATGTCATGTCATTGGAGAACTTTTCATGTCCGTTGTTGTAGTCACCGGCTTCTCACAGTGGAGCTCCATCTTCATGGTTGCCGCTGCTGCCGTCATATATACCTCCATCGTAAGTATCAACTGTTATCATATATACCTCCATAGTAAGTGTCAACTGATATCATATATACCTCCATAGTAAGTATCAACTGATATCATATATACTTCCATAGTAAGTGTCAACTGATATCATATATAACTCCATAGTACGTGTCAACTGATATCATATATACCTCCATAGTAAGTATCAACTGTTATCATATACCTCCATAGTAAGTATCAACTGTTATCATATATACCTCCATAGTAAGTATCAACTGATATCATATATACCTCCATAGTAAGTGTCAACTGATATCATATATACCTCCATAGTAAGTATCAACTGATATCATATATACCTCCATAGTAAGTATCAACTGTTATCATATATACCTCCATAGTAAGTATCAGCTGTTATCATATACTCCATAGTTATCATATCATATACCTCCATAGTAATCAACTGATATCATATATACCTCCATAGTAAGTATCATCATATACCTCCATAGTGATATCATATATACCTCCATAGTATCAACTGTTATCATATATACCTCCATAGTAAGTATCAACTGTTATCATATACCTCCATAGTAAGTATCAGCTGTTATCATATACCTCCATAGTAAGTATCAACTGATATCATATATACCTTCATAGTAAGTATCAACTGATATCATATATACCTCCATTGTAAGTATCAACTGATATATATATACCTCCATAGTAAATATCATCTGTCGGCATCAGGGAATACACGCACGCAAACACACACAGACACGCACAATACACTCCAGACCCAGAGTATGAACACCCACAGAGGAAGATACATCTCTGAGGAGAGACAGAGAGAGAGGAAAACGTAAGAGATTGAACACACATGTGCACAAAGAAGACGATAAACACAGAGGGAGAAAGAGAGAGCCGGAAAAAGTGAGAGAGGCACCAGGAAAGTGATACAAAGAAAGTGACAGAGAGACAGAGATACGACAAACACGCTGTGGTAAAACGTAAATACTTCGGCGTTGAACCTCAATCACTCACTCAGACATTTACTCTCTCTCTCTCTCTCTCTCTCTCTCTCTCTCTCACACACACACACACACACACACACACACACACACACACACACACATTATTGAACACCCTGGACTAATATGGTCCTGGACTAATATGGTCCCAGAGAACTCAAAGTGGAGTACCCAGCACATACAGAAATATTTCACTTACTTCCACAACGATCAGGGTCATTGGTTGTCAGAGTTTAATCGAAAATCAACATTTACATTTGTTTCCACCGCTGTCGTAGTAATTACAATTATCAGTATCTACCATCAGAATTTGACCGTTTTCCCTCATAACCAGAAAGTTTTCTTTCCAAGGCCTCCGTTACTGAAACCCAAAGGTCAAGTTTAAACTCGTTCCTGTTGCTGACATGCACACCGGGCCATCATCTTTGGAAGTTATACGGACTTGTTTAGAATTTTCAGAAACTTCGCTGGTATTCTCTGTTTCTTCGTTGTCCGATTACTAAAATGTTGAAGTGATATCTCGTGCTCTGTTGGCTGTTGCTATCAGTATGATTTTGTCTGACCCAGGGCGGGCTGAAGGCGGTCATCTGGACAGATGTCTTCCAAGCAGTGATCATGTTCACCGGAGTCGTCGCCATTCTCATCAAGGTTTGGCCACTTGTTTGTTGATTTGTATATCATATTGTCGGGTGTTATTGATGTATTTCATATTTCAAGGTGTATAACTGCGTATGTCATATAGATTTGCTCAATATTCTCAGCTATATGAAGACATGACACTTTTAACAACTTCTTTTTATTCTTTACATGACATTTCACAGCTAGTTCTGCTCCTTCATCAGGTGAATACTGAGCCAGTACAAAGAGTGAATATATATAGATAAAACATGTTTACACAATACAAGGACGGAGAATGTACAAAGATAACAATATAATTACGTAGTCAACAATATAATTACGAAGCCAATAAGATTGGATTAATGCATAAAGAAAACAACGAATTGTGTACACAAATCCAAGAGTGGGGTGATGTTCAAGAATAACAACATAATAGGAAACCAATTGGATAGGATTAATGTACAAAGATAACAATGAACGGATGAAGCCAAGAGATTATAGGACAACAGAGTATACACTAGGAAGGTAAATGCCTTGGTCCCGGTTAATGGCTGGCTTCTTTCTCTGGATCTCAATGCTTTCTTGAAGTTTCCGCTTCTTCCAGTGGTTGATGTTGGTGTGTAGAATCTGGGTTTGTTGCTAGGAAATATGGTGGTCGGGATGTTTTATGAGGTGTTCCGAAAGGGCAGATTACATGTCAGATTTTTCTACAGAGGTCTTGTGTTCTTTTATCCTGGTAGCTATGGGGCTACCAGGATAAATCCTAGAGGATGTGTATACGAAATAGCATGCAACTGCGGAGACAAATACATAGGAGAGACATCACGACAGATACATAGGAGAGACATCACGACTAGATACATCACGCCCCATAGCTACCAGGATAAAAGAACGAGATAAAGCTCTGAAACGTCGTGTAAAGAATGAAAAGAAGTTGTTATCCATAAAAATGTCATGTATTCATGTTCGTCCAACTCCTAAATGCCTTTCAAAAACTTCTCAATTATATGTTGATGAAAATTATTATCTCATGTGTATCTTGTGTAATTATCAGCATTGTATTGACTGATATCATATTCCTGGAAGTGAGTTGATTTGTCCATTTCTCAGCTATTGACTTGTTTATGTCACATGTTGTTACACACTGTCCACGATGTCTCTATGTTCACCACGTTCCCATGTCAGGGCACTGTCCAAGTAGGCGGACCAAGTGAAGTGTGGAGGCGGGCAAACAATGGTGGAAGAAACAACCTGTTTAAGTGAGTACCTTATAGTCAACCAACACACATTCAATCCTGCAAACTTCGTGTGTGAATCCTCAGCAAATGCTTAGTTTCTGTTGCCACTTCGAATTGGGAAGCGTGAAAAGTAACGTCCCTGTTTGATAACCAACAAACTTGTTTACATATAGTCTGTCAAGAGAGGAGGAACTTTGAGACTAAATAATATTTTTTTTAAAAGTAACAATGTATTTTTGTGGTAGACATTTCTTTAACATAATTATGGCTTACTTTGGTTACAAAATATATGTATTTTTAACATACTTATTGCATACTTTCGCTCTTCAAGATATGGCTGAAATATTGACGATGTTACGTAAACTTTTAACTCACTCCCTTACTTTTACTTTCGTGCACATGTACTTTTTTGTGATAGCCAGTTTTTGTATTTGAACATACTTATTTTACATTCTTTCAATGTTGTTTAATCCTGATGAATTTTCACTGTTTTCGTCATAGATTTGACCTGGACCCGACAGTAAGACACACCTTTTGGAATTTGTTTATAGGCGAGTTTTTACACGGCCTCGCTCTGATCTTTAACCAGTCCAGTGTCCAGAGGATTTCCTCAACGAACTCCCTCAAGGCAGCAAAGACGTGAGTACCCATCGGGCCGGCAAGCAGTTGGTTATTTCGAGATTTTCTTTGCCGTACAGACACATGCAAAATCGTTAACTTTTATTCTTTCACTTAGTGGTATTCTTGTAGTTGAGTACGTGTTGACCAAACTTTCACAAGTATGTATATATTTTAATAATTAAGTCGAACATATACTATTACATTATAGAAGACAATATGTAAATTTAACCAGTCAAATAGCATCGTCAGAGAACAGGCCTTTTCAAGTTATTTTGTCTGATAAAATTTATTTCGATAAAAATCCTTGTGACAATATCTGGGGTTGTCATGGTCATTGTGTACTCTGTTTCCAGGGTCATGTATCTTGTGGGCCCTGGATTCCTCATAACCTACACACTGGCAGTCATGGAGGGCGTGGTCGCATACAGTTACTATGACTACCATCAGTGCGATCCTCTGGTTTCCAAGCAGATTTCAAACCCAAACCAGGTTGGTACATGTATTGTGTGGATATAACTAGTTTCATTAACATGGATATGCATGGATCTACAGATAGGCAAATATGAACACATGTTGATTTTGAAGGCATAGGTTGTACCATTGATGTTGAAGGATATATTCCCTAGGATATACTGACTGACTGACTGAGTTTGGTTTTACGCCGCTTTTAGCAACATTCCAGCAACATCACGGCGGGGGACACCAGAAATGGGCTTCACAAATTGTGCCCATGTGGGGATTCGAACTCAGGTCTTCGGCGTGACGAGCCAACGCTTTAACCATTAGGCTACCCCACCGCCCCTAGGATATACTGTTGATTGTGAAGGCTGTAGTGCATAAGTTATACCATTGATGTTGAAGGATATATTCCCTAGGATATACTGTTGATTGTGAAGGCTGTAGTGCATAGGTTGTACCATTGATGTTGAAGGATATATTCCCTAGGATATACTGTTGATTGTGAAGGCTGTAGTGCATAAGTTATACCATTGATGTTGAAGGATATATTCCCTAGGATATACTGTTGGTTGTGAAGGCTGTAGTGCATAAGTTATACCATTGATGTTGAAGGATATATTCCCTAGGATATACTGTTGATTGTCAAGGCTGTAGTGCAGAAGTTGTACCATGGATGTAGATGGATATATTCCCTAGGATTTACTGTTGATTGTGATGTCTGCAGTGCGTAAGTTGTACCATAGATGTAGATGGATATATTCCCTAGGATATACTGTTGATTGTGAAGTCTGCAGTGCGTAAGTTGTACCATTGATGTTGAAGGATATATTCCCTAGGATATACTGTTGATTGTGAAGGCTGTAGTGCATAAGTTGTACCATTGATGTTGGTGGACATATTCCCTAGGATATACTGTTGATTGTGAAGACTGCATTGCGTAAGTAGTACCATTGATGTTGAAGGGTATATTCCCTAGGATATACTGTTGATTGTGAAGACTGCAGTGCGTAAGTTGTATCATGGATGTTGGTGGATATATTCCCTAGGATATACTGTTGATTGTGAAGGCTGTAGGGAATAAGTTTTACCATGGATGTTGAAGGATATATTTATTCCCTAGGATATACTGTTGATTGTTAAGACTGTAGTGCATAAGTTGTACCTTTGATGTTGATGAATATATTCCCTAGGATATACTATATATTTCTTTGAGTGGCATTTTAGAAGTTGGAAAGTACAAGATAGAACAAACTTTATGAATAAAGTTTGTTCTATATTATACTATATATTGAATGCCATCTTCCGCAGGTAATATCTTCATGGTGATGGACATATTCCCTAGGATATACTATATATTGATTGTGATGGCTGTGGTGCATAAGTTTTACCATGGATGTAGATGAATATATTCCCTGTGATAGGATATACTATATATTGATTGTGATGGCTGTAGTGCATAAGTTGTACCATGGATGTAGATGAATATATTCCCTAGGATATACTATATATTGATTGTGAATGACATCTTCCGCAGGTAATTCCCTTCATGGTGATGGACATATTCCGAGGTTTTCCAGGAATACCTGGTCTGTTTCTGGCAGCGCTCTTCAGTGCTTCTCTCAGGTGAGCATTGTTTGCTTGCATCTGACTAATAAATCTACCTGTAATCAAACTGCGACGGGGTAAGAAAGTACACACCCTGCTACACAGTGGCTCAAAAACGAAACAATAAGACATGATTATTTAATGGTGAATGTATTCAACTCGGATATTGTATTATAGTTTGAGGGTAAAATCTCCAAAATTGAAAACTGGTTCCTTTATGGACAAAAATTGGAGGTGGTATCATATTACAAATATTTAGGCATTATATTTTCGAGTAGAAATATATTCTCCAGAGCCTGTGAAACACTATCTATGCAAGCTGAACGAGTCCTACATGTCATAAAATAATTCATATGTAAATATAAAGAATTACCGATCCATGCATCATTTGAACTGTTTGATGGAAAAAATTCAATCAATTTTGTTGCACGGCTCTGAAATATGGGGCATTGACATAAACAAGAATATTGAAAAGGTACATTTAACGTTCTGTAGGTTTTTGTTGCGTATTGCTACAGAACTGCGAACAAGATTATTTTAGCTAAATGTGGACGTTTTCCACTGTTTATTAACGCCCGATGTCGGTTTTTTTCATATTGGCTAAGATTGATGAGACCACCAATTTCACGATATTCAAGATGTAGTTATGAAATATCTTAAAACACTAGATGATCCCGGAGATACTAATTGGGTTTCCTTCGTTAGAACTATTCTTTTTAGGCATGGCTTTGGAAATGTATGGCTCGCTCAAAATGTAAGTAATACACAATATTTCATCGAAGTATTCAAGCAGAGATGCAAAGACATTTATCAACAAGACTGGTATAATGAAATAACGTCATCAACCTAAGTCAACTTTTATTCAGAAAATAGATATTGTATTAATACATAAATTTACCTTTCAAAGATTAAATCACCACAACTTAAGCGTACGCTTACTAAATTTAGATGTAACGCTCACAACTTCAAAGTCCAAGCGGCGCGGTTTGCCAAAACTTCAAATGCAATAGATATCCAATGTCCATTCTGCAATTTACCGCAAGAAGATGAGTACCATGTATTACTTATATGCCCGAAATATTTAGAAATAAGAGAAACATATTTGCCTTTGCCTCGTTTCGGCAATTGATATTGCTGTGAGTAAACAGAAAATGGAAAAATGTTACTTTGCAGGCACAAATGTTAACAAAAATCATTTTAGCTGTTCCTAAACACTTTTTCACAATATCAAAGACACGTTATACTTGTTTTCACTAATGCAAATAGGCGGAAAATGTCTTAAAAGACTGAAATCATAGGAATGATTCTTTTACAATTTTACACACTCTACAACAATTGTTTCTTGTTTTAATAATTGAAAAATGGTGACTTTAAATGGTTTATCTTTGTCTCAAAGCAGAATTATATTTCAACCTTTCTTTTGGACATCTAAATCACTGTTATTGGTGTATTTCGGCATTTTCGAAAATAGGACAATTTAACTCACAATCTGCATCCAAGTTCCCAGGTCGACACTTCATCAGGAGACAAACAGTAGCTTTTCGGCGATACGTGGCTTGCAGTTACTGGAAAGTAATTTGATGCTGATGATTATGATTTGAGGAGTTAACGTTTTCCGACATAATACTCAGACCGTTTTTATGAAAGAACAAAGCGCGGACTTAGGAAAAGACAATTGTCTCCAGCGTCGCGTAATTACACCTGGTCGGTTGGTGAGCAGAATTTGTGCTAGGTAGCCGTACGAAATTAGCTACAGCAACCTTGTAAAAAACATGTACTGTAAATTATGACATATGTATATAAAAAGCGTGAACTATATTACACGAATGTACATTTAGATGTAGTGAGACTATTTTGTACAGTTTGTAATTGGCAAAACTTTGGCGAAGTTGAGACCATAGAAGTGAGCGGTTGTGCCAGAGTCTCGAGGCGATATACTGATTGGAATGAGTTGTCTGCATGTTGATATGAAAACACTTTATATTTTCAGCACCATATCTTCTGGACTATCCAGTCTGTCTGCTCTGACGTGGAAGGACTTCGTTCAGCCCATCTATCCAGAGTTACCGCAACATAAAGCCATCCTCATTGCAAAATTTTCAGGTAACTTTAATGACGTCATACTTGCCGACCCTGTATATGGTTATTGTGTGACGGAGTGAATGTTGACGATAACAGTTAGCTCGCACATTCCGACTACTGTATTCACGACACGCATTGAGTCTGAGGGAGTATTCTTTTCCTAAAATCCTATAGAGATTTTGTAATCTGTTGTTAAAAATGATTCCTATAAATGTGGATAATATTGCTGACCCTCCGAATAGTACCTTCATGAAAACACACGAATCATGAAAACACACCCTGTCTGCTTCGACCTTATCATTCGGGATTAATGCACGACTTTGGTAATTTCAGTGGTCGGATACGGGGTATTGGCGTGCTGCGTTTCCTTGCTGGCGGCGCGTGTTGGTGGACCTCTAACACAAGTAAGCCGAATGAAAAGAACCCATCTGAATGACAATTAGATGGAAGCAGAGTTGACAAGTTTTATCTTTTATACATTCATTTATGTCGGTAAATATGTTAAGGCCAAAACCAGCTAGTAACGAGTATCTATCATGTTATATTTGGTATTACACTTTCTTAGTGATTATAGTACTTTTGTTGGGTTCAGTCTCATTCGTGATTCAAACCCACACTCTCAGAGTCAGGCACCTAATCGCCAGCACACCAAGTCAGGCACCTAACCCGCTCAACCACCGCGGATTCCACAACACGGGTAGTCTAGACTGCGGACTTTGTGTACCCATTTGTGCACTCCTCTGACAAGTGTTAGTTTTAGACTACCTAAAAAGGTTGTCCGACTTATATTTTTTGTGGATGCCGCTCTGGCTGAGCGGGTTAGGTGCTTGACTCTGAGGGTGTGAGTTCGAATCCCGACTGCGACTGAACCCAACTGAGAAAGTGTGATCCCAAATAAAACATGTTACATTTGACCACATTCTAAGTAAACTTAGGCTCAGTATTATTTGTTACACTGCTACACTGAGTCTACCAAATCCTAGCTAACCTTTGAGCGACCTACGATCGTCCAATCAAATGCGAGACGACCGAACGGATTTAACCAATCAGACAACGGCTACTGTTTAGGGTTCGGCGGGACTTACAAAATTCCCCGGTCACTGACACTGATCTCTCAACAAACGAAAATCCGCATAAAACACAGATATTTGACCTGAAGTATATACGCCTAGGGCTTTCTGATGGCATGGTTACCATTAGCTAATATTTCCGCAACCTGACATCCTTGAATATTGACAAAAACGCTATTTTCAGCGACTGTTTACTCACTGTTGTGGCGTGCCCCATGCGCATCATTCGGAAGCGATCATACGGAAATAGCATTCGGAATCGTTCGGGTACAAACTATTTCGAGGTACAAGTTCAAAACGTATGTGCGAATGTCAACTTTCGCGATTTGGTAAGCTGTGTTCTCATTGGTCAATTGAAAAGGTTACCTGACGCGACCTTCTACTAGGGTTTGTTACTATACTGACTGACTGAGTTTAGTTTTACCCTGCTTTTAGCAATATTCCAGCAACATCACGGCGGGGGGACACCATAAATTGACTTCACACATTGTGCCCATGTGGGGATTCGAACCCGGGTCTTCGGCGTGACGAGCCAACACTTTAACCATTAGGCTACCCACCGCCCCTTGTTAGTATAAGCAGTGTGACGAATAATACTGAGCCTAAGTTGACTTAGACTGCATTTGACAACTTGACTTTCTAAATGGCACTATGTATTCAGTAATCAGTATCAATTTATCAGCCTAAACAAGTTCCACTAACAACCATTGATAACCGTGTGAGAGGTTTTAGTACTGAAACTCCTTACATATAAAAATAAGCTGATAACTATTCCAGGTAATGATGAAACGCCGAGTTATCTTCTCCAAACAAGACACGACTTCGCGAAACCGTCTCAATTTTTGTTTTCATGAGATAAATATTCTTTCTACTTAGAAATATCGGGATAGTGTTTAGTGTCAGATTGTGTTCCCCAGTCTTTCATTCGATAGATCAACTTCGATCTCCTGGTGGCTGTCAAGGCTATATTGACCAGCTACACGGACATGTTCATGTGGCCGAATATGTGTAAGGTCACTGAGTGCAAATCAACGTTCACATCGCTGCTATTGCCATGGCGACAGCTTGTTATCAGCCGATACAGAAACAGTGATCGTCAACAAGTCAACTCTCCACTATGACGTCAGGTCACGTGATGACAACTCTGCTCATTACTCTCGGTTGTGTATGGAGCCAGAGTAGGTGTTTAACGCCTTTTTGGCTACTCATATTGATTTTAATGTTTTCCTTCTTTGATAGATATGTTTTAATATGCTATTTAAAAATATTTGATCCCAAATTTATACCGTGTATCTTCTGTAACTAAAGATCGGAACGAGTCTTTTGTCGGCGTCCAGCGGACCCTTAGCTGGCGTCTTCATCGTCGGCTCCCTCACCTCCATCGCCAATAAAAAGGTAAGTGGCGATTGCTTGATATTTACTGACTGCTAGCTTGAATACCACTGTGTGCCACAAACTAAAATAATTGGAAAGATATCAAGACCTACTTCTGGTTGCCGCACCTAATGGTTGCTTGGTTGTATAACCCCACACTCAGCAATATTCCAGCTATATGGCGGCGGTCTGCAAATAATCGAGTCTGGACCAGACAATCCATTGATCAACAGCATTAACGCACTTGGGATACGATGACATGTGTCAACCAAGTCAGCGAACCTAACAACCCGATCCCGTTAGTTCCCTCTTACGACAATCATGGGCTGCTGAAGACCAATTCTAACCCGGATCTTCACGGGTCTACTTCAAAAGTGGGTAGTGAGTGAGTTTAGTTTTACGCCGCACTCAGCAATATTCCAGCTATATGGCGGCGGTCTGCAAATAATTGAGTCTGGACCAGACAGTCCAGTGATCAACAGCACGAGCATCAATCCAAGCAAGTAGGATACGATGACATGTGCCAACCAAGTCATCGAGCTGATCCCGCCAGTCGCCTCTTACGACAAGCATGGGTTACTGAAGACCAATTCTTACCCGGATCTTCACGGGTTGCCGCGCATGAGCTATCAGTGATTCCTGTATTTAAGTCGGCGAATAAACGCGACTACAGGTTCAGATCACTGAAACTAAACATCCCGGACACAAATCATACGACATCACTGTGAAAGTGTGACTGACTTCTGATCTCTACCCATAAGCTTCCGAAATGTAATCAGTATATATCGCTGAAATATCACAGTTATCTGTTCTTGATTAGTGGTGACCTTGCCCTTAGGTTGAAGTCGTCACGGACTCAGTGTACAAGCAGACCCGAGTATGTCAATGTTCGCATCCTTAATACGGGGTGATATAGTTATGGTGAACTATTTTTGGCGGTCACCAAACCATTTTTAGACAGCCGCATCACAAGGGAAGCTAATATGTACTTCTTTCTCAGTCGTTTGTGGTGGGCATTGAGAAGCCATGTTTTAGCTACAACTTTCAGAGTTAATTTCCTTAGATATTCACATAGGCTATTTAAGGGGAAACCGTGAGGTTGATATTTGGTATATTACATATCTCTGTTTCGTCATATTCGGGTAAAAATATTCTAAACTGAAATTTTAAAATTGCAGTGTTTGAGTTCAGGCAGCATTTCGAGATTTCAAGGTCATCGTTCCGTTTTGCTTTATTCAGATCAACTAAACACTATATACTGAAGGAAACAAATAAGGGAACACTACATAGTCGCAGTGATCCTTTACATAGGCTCAGATTTTCATCCTCAGTACAATACAATGGATGTGGAAAGTTCTTGAAAGGCATTCAGACGCTGGACGGACATCACTCACTCACTCACTCATTTACTGAACCATTGATTATTACCTGCTCTTTTCTTGGTTCCAGGGAGTCATAACTGGTGCTCTGGTCAGTTTTGTCCTGGTGTCATGGATCAGTATAGGGGCCAATTTCTCCCCGACGCGACGGACAGCGCCCAAGCTACCCCCCGCCTCCACTGAGAGCTGCCCTGCCTACCTCAACTCGTCTCTTGTCTACAACACCACCGCCAACATGTACACCCTACAGCACAACGTTACGACGGCGTCGATTGAGGTGGCGTCACCGGAACCGTTAGTCGACCTTTCATGTACTCACGTCTCGACGTTATCATTGAAATAGTAGATGTTTAGTATAAATTTGTTTTCTCGAAGTAAAACTTTGCTCACTGTCTATTTGGTCTATATCCATCATAATTTAACGTTTTATCGGATGAGTCGAAATGACGGTTGTCTCGAGGTCAGTTTCCTGTACCAAACATGTACAACCAGCTCACATGTTCTCTGATTATTTTATTTCCTCTTCGTGTTATTAATTTTTCAATTTTTGAATGCCGTGTCAGTTTTTCGGTTTAATCGAGCTTCGGATAACTCGTAGTATATGTGTAGGTCCTTTCCACTCCGACACTACAGTGTTAGAGTGCATATAATGTTCCAAAATGTCGACTGTTCCAAAGACGTATACGTTTGTTTCTTTACAGCGTTGGAGTTGAGAAGATGTACATGTTGTCGTACATGTGGTTCTACACCATCGCCGTCTTAGTCGTCGTTGTCATCGCTCTGCCAGTCAGCTACTTCACAGGTAAGTCAACACCTTAATGACCCCTGGGAGAGAAGGCGTGGTGGGTGTTTACCGTGGACCCAGTACTTACAAAAACAGCCCTTCCTTGGGTGGAGTTGTGCCCCTTAGTTGTGCAGACAATCAGCCGATAGGAGGCAGAAATCCACGTCAGTGTCAGCCTGGTTCTCGGGGTCTGCTGCACTACGCTTCAAAACTGACCCCGGCAATGATTACCGGTGACCAATGGCGGCCTTCACTACTGGGCGACGCGCCATATATTTGCTGTACAAAAACTCCGAGAATGGGTGGTTAGAACTTTCTCATAGCATTTTCATCGATACTATGGCAAATTATACATAGGCCCAAATCATCGAAACAGACGTAACCAAATTTGCCAAAATAAAGATGCTAACTATATTTAACTAATGTGGTCGTTCAGATACATGCTTTATGTGTACAATTTCGGGACAATAGCCAGCTGACACGAAATAGCAATGCACATGTTGGTGTTGAAGATGGGCTGTGTCATTGTTTACATTTCGCCCATGTAACGAGGACTTTTGTGTCTCGAAACTGCTTAAATAACGTTTTCGTGCACTAAAAGTAACGATGGCCGTTGTTCAGATGACGTACACTTTGCCATAGTATCGATTTTTGTTTAGTAAATATATGGCGCAAAAGTAGACTAACAGTTAGTCTCTGAAAATATGTGATTTTGATAGAGACTACGAAGTTTACTTAAACGGTTTAGTTTGGTTTGGATGTTGATTTACGCCACCCTCAGCAATATTTTAGCTATAATGGCGGCTGTCCGGCAGCCAGTGATCAACAGTATGAGCATCGACCTACGTAATTGGGATACGATGACATGTGTCAACCAGGTCAGCGAGCCTGACCATCCAATCCCGTTAGTCGCTTCTTACAACAAGCATGCGTTGAAGACCAATTCTAACCTGGATCTTCCAAGGTCACCTGCCGGGTGTCCGAGATTAAGGGGATGAAACAGATACTGGTCAGCTCGGAGTCTAGGCTATAAAACCAGCACAAATCTTGGCAATCCAAAGCACGCACGCACGACACGCGCGCGCACACACGCACACATGCACACATGCATGTCACGTTCAGAGTGAAAGAATCTTGATATTTTTAACTTCCGCTTACTTCAACTCACCTTCTACACTAACCACTAAAGCTTAGTCTATAAATACATACAGTTTTGATAGTAACAAGTAATTCCTTTTAAATCAAACAGGAGCCCCAGTGAGAGGAGAGATTGTAACTCATAATCTGCTTCATTAGGGCTTTAGCGTTGAAGAAAGGGCTGGACAGAATGTGAAATAATGTGGTTCAGGAACTGAAAGACAAACTATTCATCTTCCATAACTTTGAGATTGTCCAATTTCAGCTAAAAAAGAAGAGAAGCCAGACCCAAAGTACGTCGTCCCAGTGTGGAGTATTTTCTGCTGCTGTGTTCCAGCATCACTGAGACGGAGGCTGGGCTGTGAACAGACTCCAGGGGTAAGGGTTTGCGGGAGTTGTTTTTTAAGCCCCTTTTAGCAATATTCATGCAATATCACGGCGGGGAACACAATGAATGGGCTTCACACTTCAAGTTCATGTGAGGAATCGAACTCGGGCCTTCGGGGTGACGCTTTGACCATAAGGCTATCCTATCACCAAGACAACGGGGTAGAGGGAGATCATCGATCACCGTATCGGAAAATCGTTTTAGATGAGTAACACCCAACCCATATCCTATCGCACGAGCCAATTTTACTGAACTGTGGTTGGTTTTAACATATTTCATTGTCCAAGAGACAAAGGGATTGGGCACAAGTGCACCACTTATTGTTGCCTTCTCCCGAAACACAGTTAAACATAACTTTACAATATGGAGACGAACGGTTTACAATGGAAGCCTGAGTGACATTGTGGAAACATGTATATGAGAGCAGATAGAGGCAGTTTTTGACAAGAACAAATATCTGGACTCATCTTCTATATATTTATTGTTTATGCACCTTCAGAAATCTCTTGTTTATATATAGGTTGTTACTGTACATATATCATTACGTGCACATATTTGCGCCTCTGTTATCATCTGATGGTTGCACCCTATGGCCATGACATGATTCTGATCTTTTCACAGATAGTTTGACTAGATATTATCAATACCAAGACAGTGTTTGAAATAAATGTCTGACTGACGCCATCCCACAGACTAAACTATTCATGGCCTCATTATACAAAAACGAAGCTCATCGTGAGTGACATATAAACCGACACGTAAACGACACGAGGTCAAATTAATAGCACAGGGTTTTTTTTCTTCTTGTAGAACACACATGACGTTGAGAAACATTCTAGCGACGCTGAATCGGGAACCAATAGCCAGGAAATAAAAATCCCCCTCGTCGACGATGGAGCTGATGACGCACATGATGACGGGGACCATCCACGCACTTCAAAGAATTCCAAACATGGTGGCTCCACAGAGAATGAGAACTTTATGTAATGAAGAAACAATTGTTTTTTATTATGTTTACTCGGAAGTGACTTGTACAGTATTTTGTTTGAAAGTCACTATTATATGACAGTTTGTTCATGCGTGTTGGCACGATGCCACAGAAAACATGATGGAGCTCTTTACCGCTTTGATGAATCCAACTAGAACCAAGTTTGCTGGTACATATTGAGACATTGATTCGCACCCACGGTCATAGGTTCCAGGCATGGCAAAGGGACGCAACTGCGGATTACGGCGCGTTAGACAGCCCATCCCCTAGTCAAAACAATATAATATGTTTTTGGCTATGGTTTGTCATTATTTTATCAGTTTAGTTTCCGCATTCGGGAAAGCAAATAATTTATTTTTCATTGAACTGGTTTCATCATGTGCTCTCTTAAAACGCAGAGGGGCTCGCAACCAAGTTATATACTACCCTTCAAAAGTTTAGCCTCACTTAAAGCACACACCATCTTTTATGTATATTATATATGGTTACATCGAAAATAAAATTCTCAACAAACTTGGGGAAACCAACTGCAAACTTTATGCTGATGAATTGCAGGAGGATCATGCATCACATATTGCTGAAAAGCATGTGCAAATATCGTACATGTGAACAGCTGCGTTTTGGTGTAAAGTTTTGTTAAGAATTTGCCAATTTTCACTGATTTTCATCATTTCTTGAACTCATGACAATAATCTTTTCAACGTTACGAATTTGTTTTACAATACATCAGTTCATGTGTAAACAGTACCTTTAAACAGAATGGAATATTTTGCAAAATCTAGTTTAGTACAGTTGACTGAAGTAAGTGGCTACATTTACACTAGTGAGTCTAAACTTTTGATGGGTAGTATAGATTATAGTTTTATAATGATAATGCACCTCCTGGGAACGGGTTACGACGGTTAGTGAAGTATGACAGTATAGTTAAGACCAAAATATCTTTAAGAACTAAATTGGTTAGATCAATAGTGTGTAACACCGCCTCAATTTGTCAACCATTGGCTCCCCCCCCACGTGGCACACTGCCCATCACTGCTACGATGTGAGGGAGTCTGTCCCCCACTTATCGGCACCGCCTGGCCGAGTTCAGTCAGAGTGGTAGGCGACCAATGACGTAGAACTATACTGGTGCTCATTTATTACTCAATATTATATGCTTCTACATATCATTTTTTAATATGATTTCGTTTTTTTTTAATAATACAGAAAAATATCTTTAACAAGATACACATCTCATGATTTGCATTTTAATCATTGCGCTTGCTATTTTGTCTCAAATTTACACAAGTTTGAAAATGGTATCGTGGTTGAAATTCGCTTGGAGGAATTGTTTGAAACTGAAGTACCCAGCCACAGATTAGTTTCAGACACGGTATCAGGATGGGGTGATGGTTGCACATCTTATCAAAATAAATCACTTTTCTTTTCAATTTTCACTTCCTAAAAAAAAAGTACATAATTTTTATTTACAGTGTTATTCAAATTTCAACAAATATGAATTTCTAATCTATTTCACTATGATTTGAAAATCGATTTCGACTGCTTAAAAGTTGTTCGGTTGTTGAAGATAGTCCTTTCTTCGCGCTCTCACTCACAAATGGCTTTTTCCCACACCGCGCTTACATGCCATGCAAAGACGTTACTCAATTATACCTTTGTAATACATTTTAAACGATATACAGCTTTTTAATTAGATGAGAGACCGGTCACGAGGCAGCTTCTGAAAATCTAATAGGCGTAAGCTTTTACATGAATACAAGAGGATATATATTTTTTGTATCGCTCACATCAACTTCATGCAATGCAAAATAACAAACGGGTTAATGAACATTGTAAATTGTAAGTATAATACAAACATTTTTAAATAATTGAGTGCTTAGCTTATTTTTGCTTCCCTGACATTCACTGTCACGACTAGTACTGGTATTCACGTGTCACCACTAGTACTGGTATTCACGTGTCACCACTAGTACTGGTATTCACGTGTCACCACTAGTCCTGGTATCACGTGTCGCCACTGGTACTGGTATTCACGTGTCACCACTGGTACTGGTATCACGTGTCACCACTAGTACTGGTATTCACGTGTCACAACTAGTACTGGTATCAAGTGTCAACACTAGTACTGGTATTCACGTGTCACCACTAGTACTGGCATTCCCATGTCACCACTGGTACTGGTTTCCACGTGTCACCACAAGTACTGGTATTCACGTGTCATCACTAGTACTGGTATTCACGTGTCCCCATAGTACTGGCATTCCGATGTCACCACTAGTACTGGTATTCACGCGTCACCACTATTACTGACATTCACTGTCACCACATGTACTGGTATTCACGTGTCACCACTAGTACTGGTATCACGTGTCACCACTAGTACTGGTATTCACGTGTCACCACTAGTACTGGCATTCCCATGTCACCACTGGTACTGGTATTCACCTGTCACCACAAGTACTGGTATTCACGTGTCACCACTAGTACTGGTATTCACGTGTCACCTCTAGTACTGGTATTCCCGTGTCACCACTAGTACTGACATTTCCGTGTCACCACTAGTACTGACATTCACGTGTCACCAATAGTACTGGTATTCACGTGTCACCAATAGTACTGGTATTCACGTGTCACCACTAGTACTGACATTCACGTGTCACCACTAGTACTGGTAATCACGTGCCACCAGAAGTATTGGTATTCCCGTGTCACCACTAGTACTGGTAATCCCGTGCCACCAGAAGTATTGGTATTCACGTATCACCACTAGTACTGGTAATCACGTGCCACCATAAGTATTAGTATTCACGTGTCACCACTAGCACTGGTAATCACGTGCCACCATAAGTATTGGTATTCACGTGTCACCACTAGTACTGGTATTCACTGTCACCAATAGTACTGGTATTCCCGTGTCACCACTAGTACTGACATTTCCGTGTCACCACTAATATTGGTATTCCCGTGTCACCACTAGTACTGGCATTCCCATGTCACCACTAGTACTGACATTTCCGTGTCACCACTAATATTGGTATTCCCGTGTCACCACTAGTACTGGTAATCCCGTGCCACCAGAAGTATTGGTATTCACGTATCACCACTAGTACTGGTATTCACTGTCACCAATAGTACTGGTATTCCCGTGTCACCACTAGTACTGACATTTCCGTGTCACCACTAATATTGGTATTCCCGTGTCACCACTAGTACTGGCATTCCCATGTCACCACTAGTACTGACATTTCCGTGTCACCACTAATATTGGTATTCCCGTGTCACCACTAGTACTGGTAATCCCGTGCCACCAGAAGTATTGGTATTCACGTATCACCACTAGTACTGGTAATCACGTGCCACCATAAGTATTAGTATTCACGTGTCACCACTAGCACTGGTAATCACGTGCCACCATAAGTATTGGTATTCACGTGTCACCACTAGTACTGGTATTCACTGTCACCAATAGTACTGGTATTCCCGTGTCACCACTAGTACTGACATTTCCGTGTCACCACTAATATTGGTATTCCCGTGTCACCACTAGTACTGGCATTCCCATGTCACCACTAGTACTGACATTTCCGTGTCACCACTAATATTGGTATTCCCGTGTCACCACTAGTACTGGTAATCCCCTGCCACCAGAAGTATTGGTATTCACGTATCACCACTAGTACTGGTAATCACGTGCCACCATAAGTATTGGTATTTACGTGTCACCACTAGTGCTGGTAATCACGTGCCACCAGAAGTATTGGTATTTACGTGTCACCACCAGTACTGGTATTTACGTGTCACCACTAGTACTGGTATTTACGTGTCACCACTAGTACTGGTATTCACGTGTCACCACTAGTACTGGTATTCACGTGTCACCACTAGTACTGGTATTTACGTGTCACCACCAGTACTGGTATTCACGTGTCACCACTAGTACTGGTATTCACGTGTCACCACTAGTACTGGTATTTACGTGTCACCACCAGTACTGGTAATCCCGTGCCACCAGAAGTATTGGTATTCACGTGTCACCGACATTCACGGGTAATAAGTTACTGGTATTCAAGGACAGTCCCGACATTCACGGGTAATACAGCTACTGGTATTCAAGGACAGTCCCGACATTCACGGATAATAAGCTACTGGTATTCAAGGAGAGCCCCGACATTCACGGATAATACAGCTACTGGTATTCAAGGAGAGCCCCGACATTCACGGATAATACAGCTACTGGTATTCAAGGACAGCCCCGACATTCACGGATAATACAGCTACTGGTATTCAAGGAGAGCCCCGACATTCACGGACAATACAGCTACTGGTATTCAAGGACAGCCCCGACATTCACGGGCAATACAGCTACTGGCATTCAAGGAGAGCCCCGACATACACGGGTAATACAGTTACTGGTATTCAAGGACAGTCCCGACATTCACGGATAATACAGCTACTGGTATTCAAGGACAGTCCCGACATTCACGGACAATACAGCTACTGGTATTCAAGGACAGTCCCGACATTCACGGGTAATACAGCTACTGGTATTCAAGGACAGTCCCGACATTCAAGGGTAATACAGCTACTGGTATTCAAGGACAGCCCCGACATTCACGGGTAATAAGCTACTGGTATTCAAGGACAGCCCCGACATTCACGGACAATACAGCTACTGGTATTCAAGGACAGTCCCGACATTCACGGACAATACAGCTACTGGTATTCAAGGACAGTCCCGACATTCACGGACAATACAGCTACTGGTATTCAAGGACAGTCCCGACATTCACGGGTAATACAGCTACTGGTATTCAAGGACAGTCCCGACATTCACGGACAATACAGCTACTGGTATTCAAGGACAGTCCCGACATTCACGGGTAATACAGCTACTGGTATTCAAGGACAGTCCCGACATTCAAGGGTAATACAGCTACTGGTATTCAAGGACAGCCCCGGCATTCACGGTTAATACAGCTACTGGTATTCAAGGACAGCGTCAACATTCACGGTCAACACTAGTAGTGGTATTCAATGAGAACCCCGACATTCACGGTCAACACTAGTAGTTGTATTCAAGGACAGCCCCGACATTCACGGTCAACACTAGTAGTGGTATTCAAGGACACCCCCGACATTCACGGTCAACACTAGTAGTGGTATTCAAGGACAGCGTCAACATTCACAGGTAATACAGTTAGTGGTATTCAAGGACAGCGTCAACATTCACGGGTAATACAGTTAGTGGTATTCATGGACAGCGTCAACATTCACAGGTAATACAGTTAGTGGTATTCAAGGACAGCGTCAACATTCACGGTCAACACTCAGTAGTGGTAGTGGTATTCAAGGACAGCGTCAACATTCACGGTCAACACTAGTAGTGGTATTCAAGGACAGCGTCAACATTCACGGTCAACACTAGTAGTGGTATTCAAGGACAGCGTCAACATTCACGGTCAACACTAGTAGTGGTATTCAAGGACAGCCCTGACGAATATTTTGCCATGAAATACAAGATATACACTAGCAACAAGTTCATGACATTTAGATTCCGAGAAGAAATCGCCCATCCATATTTCAGAGCTTTCAAACTAGGAGATGCAACTAATACGGATATTGATAACAGCTCTTGCGGTCAACAAACCGCTCAAATATTGACACAGATGAGGGCATGGGCGATTTTGTTTGGAGCCTGTAATGGACGAACATTTCTTAAGGGGAGGTAACTCCGGTGCCACCATAAAAACGTGGTGCTTTTTTCCAGTGTTGGGTCATTCATCTGTGTCAGAGTGAGACGAAGACAGTTATAGCGTATTGATGCCAATATTCGCACAGGGAACTTTTGTTACGGGTGTATCAGAAAGACTATATGACGAATTTGAGAAGACTGTGTTTCTCTCAGTTTCCTACATTTAGATTAGCATGGTAAAGTGACATCGGTTTGAGGGAACTGCTAAAATGATGGTGAACGTGTAATGACGAACATGTATTTTGCGGACAGCAACAAGCGTCTTTCCATTTTACTATTTATAGCAGTCTTTATCATTCCGAAGAACTGGGACGACGATCGAAGATCGGTACTCCTACTTTTATTCTAGATCTGTTTAATGTACGAGTATTAATTGTTGTTTATTGCACAGATCAAATATCATTTTGTATCTAAAATGAGGCCATTCTACTGAATAAACTGTCAGCAAAGGAACTGGCAGCTGGAATATCTATTTTGGGGTTTTGTTATTAGTTTTGTTTGATTTGTATTTATTTTCGTAAAGATTTTGGGGCGGTTGGGTAACCTAGTGGTTAAAGCGTTCGCTCGTCACGCCGAAGACCCGGGTTCGATTCCCACATGGGCACAATGTGTGAAGCCCATTTCTGGTGTCCCCCGCCGTGATATTGCTGGGATATTGCTAAAAGCGGCGTAAAACTAAACTCACTCGTAAAGATTTTACTGTTATGAAAGCCAACACAATTGGGCTGCTCCTTCTCGTTCGTTTGTAAAGGTAAGAACAATGTGTCAGCTGCGTGTGTTTGTGACTTACATCTAATTTAAAGTCTATCATCGGGTATTTTATTAAACGATGTCAGATGAAAATACAGGTATGATAGCTTTCAGTTGTGTAAACCCGTAAATGTCCCACAGATGAAGGCAACGTTGAACCCTCTTAAGTAAGTAACCTAAGTAACTCTCTTGCCGATATAAGTAAAGAGGAGCACATGGGTCTCATAATGATTGGCAGGCCTAAAACAGGCTTGGAACAGCTATCAAAGGCGGCATGGGTTGTGTACTCCCCATGGAGTTGACAATGATAATTGAATCCACTGGTAGGTGGACACGTATACCACATATGAGCAGAAACTAGTGTCTGGATTAGTGCTGAAGAACCACGAAATACCAGTTCTAAGAGGTGAGCTTCAAAGAACAGACTACGGTTTATCAGAAACCGAAGTATCTGAGCAAGATCATGTTGGCACTGTGTTATCAGACCAGCGTTGGAAATCAGCGTCAGTCCTTAGGCCCGAAGCCGACTAAATACCACTCGTACCCACAGCTTTTGTTTTCTGCAGGTCCTTATCGCCGACAGCTTTTTCATCCCCAATAACTAAGAGTATTATTTCCATATTAAAATATAGGGCCTACACATTCTGATCAGGACCCACAACTTTTAATGGTTCTGGGTTCTTTGGGGACTGGGTTCTTTTCGGGGTTAGGATCAAACCCTGTATCAGACCGTACACGTTACAGGGCGTTCTGTGGGGCGGTGGGGTAGCCTAGTGGTTAAAGCGTTGGCTCGTCACGCCGAAGACCCGGGTTCGAATCCCCACATGGGTACAATGAGTGAAGCCTATTTCTGGTGTCCCCCGCCGTGATATTGCTGGAATATTGCTAAAAGCGGTGTAAAACCAAACTCAGTCAGTCAGCCAGACAGGGCGTTCTGTACTGCACATAAGTGCACTTTGTTCTTGGGGTACCACGTACCGGGAGAGTGAGTAGCGGGCTGCACTGGGTCACGTGGGTTGACAGATACGTCACAGCAATGTTATAACAAGTCACTGTATTGTCACCTGCACAGTATGGACCCGTGATGATGATGTCGTGTTAACATTAGACCCCAGGATCCTGAACGTGCCAAAAGAGCTGGTCCCGTGGGACTCCCCAGTTGGGACCGGTCACCTATACTTGTCGCAAGAGTTGACTCAAGAGATGGAGTGGTCTGACAGTGATTTGGTTGACCACGTGTCACGGTCTCCCAGCGTCGTGGATCGTCGTTCATAATATCCATCACAGGTTTGTCAGGACCTGACTTAGTTGTGAATCGGAATATATTATATTCATATATATTTATATAGCGCCAATATCCAGATCATCTGCTCAAAGGCGCTTTGTTTTTTCCCTCGATCAGTGGATGTCAACCTCAAATGGCACATTGTATTAATTTATCAATCCCACTCTCTCTTGCTGCCACTAGGTACACCGGGTTAATGTGGCTTTTCCCATCCTTACGAGGTACCCATCCACAGCTGGGTGGACTGGGACACATAGTACAGTACAAGTTTTACAGCACGTTGCTGTACCCGCAACTAGCTATTTGCACGTATTCTTGTGGCCACCATCTGGTCATATACCAACGGATTCGCGGGTTCTTTTATGTGCACAGGGTTGTGTACTGTACACTAGGAGTTGTGACAACACTGAAAGAGTCTGTACACAAAGTTGACTCCAAGGTTTAACACCCATTCACAGGTGGGCTCGATCCCGGCATCTCAAGCTCACTGGATCACTAGCCTGGCGCCTTAGACAGCTCTCCCACCATGATTCCAGAATGTGCTGGGATACACGTCATCCAAGCAATGTTATCAGTTCAGTTCCGTCCGTATTGAAGTCAAAATGTAGCGATAATGATTTCAGATTTTGAAAATTCTTTTAATGTAAATTAACAAGTGTAAACATACGTTCTAATATCCACATCGTCATGCTTCTACTTGGATACAATGGACATATGACAATAAAGGCAAGATATGGATGACAACCTCTTATTATATTTTGTCATCAATAACATATCTTGTTTTTACTGTCACTCAAACACTTCCAATCAAACAGATCAATGTATCGCACCAATCAAGTGTCTCGTGTTTCTAGCCAATCAAACGCTGTATCTGCTATCTCTAGCCAATCAGAGATAGTGTTGATGTTACTCTTCTCGTCACGTGACTAACATCAGCTCAGCCACAGGTAGTTTAATGGCTGTCGTCATAGGGTCACTTTTCAAAAGGGCAACACCAACACTAACAAATTAATTACTTAGTTTTAGAATTGGACTCTGGATATTTTAGCACAAGCTTCACATAGATACCACCAGGAAACACAGGCATTAACACCCTCTGCAACTGGACACCGGGTATTTCAGGACAAGCTTCACAAAGACAGTAACAGCACATACACCGAGAAAATGGGATCAATGAGGTCCCTTGTGATTGGTCGTCAAGATTTCCAAATCGGTGGTAGATCGTTCCGCATTATGTCACTTCTACCCTGGAAAAAGAGAAATGTGGAACTTTAACAATTTCACAAGTACATTGTCTGTCATACTGTAGTAGACAGAGGTGGGACAAACACACATGTGCACTGATTGGTCGAGTTATGTTTCCTCAACTTTCGTCTAGTCATGTGCTGGGGGGGGGAGTATGACGGGGGAGGGGGTCGTATATTTCTCATTATGTAGGGAATGGAACCATGGCCACCCACAAGGGTAGCCCTCCGCCTGTATACAGTTTTAAGCAGGAAAGTTAGCAAACAGTGCCTTCTCTGTTACGAACCTGAAGCGACAAAGGACTCCTGTGCCTTGTGCAAAAATATCCTTCTTTACCTCAACAGAAGACTCTTAATGTCAGCAACGATGTGTGTGCTGTGTCTGTGCAATTAGGACTAGGTAATGAAATGACCTTTTGTCAACATACGTGATATCCCTTTAACAAAGGACCGCCTCCGTGGTGTAGTGGTTAGGGCGTCCGACCGGAGAGCGGAACGTCGCGGGTTCGATCCCCGACCGCGTCATACCAAAAGACGTTAAAATATGGTACTTGTTGGTCCCTGCCTGGCGCTCGGCATTAATGGGTACAACAAGGACTGGTCGGCTCGGAGTCAGTATAGTGTGTCTGAGTGGGGTATTCATGCTTCACTGCGGCTTGGTATCTCAGTGGGCTAGCACTATAAAACCAACTTTAGTCTGGGCTAGTACAAGCAGCCGCACCTACACATACACACGCATGCACGTCGTCATATGAGCGAAATATTCTCCAGCGCGACGTTAAACCCAATTTCACCTCACCTCACCCCTTTAACAAACAACATGACGTTTGTGACTTCCATATGGTCAACAATGAAGTATGTTCTACATCTATAGCAGTATGTGCTACGCCAACATCAGTGTCGGAGTGTCATCAACGATAAGTATGTACAGGGGCGGATACAGCTTTTTGAGAAAGGGGTGGGGTGGGGGTGCACACCATTGAGAAAAGGAGGGTGCACACTTAATTTTCACCCGAGTTTCAATGGTCATTTAACAAACAACTTTGAGCACAAAAGGGGTGTGTGTGTGTTGGGAGAGGGAGGATGGGGAGGGGGATCCCTTTCTGGATCCGCCTATGATGTATTACGTCAAAAGCAGTTTGAATGTTGTAAACAGTGAAGAACACGTTGGACCAAATGGATAACAAATAATCGTCAGTTTTAAAGTCACTTTGTAATGTCTAGCCACTGATAAACAAGAATGTAAACTGCATTGTTGAAATATATCATGATATCATATTATGGCATATAACGGGTTGTTTTTGGACTCATCATGAGACCATAATTACACAAAAAAAACACAAATAAACGCGCGTACACACACACGCGCACGAACACATATGAACATGAATATCGGCGCGTACACGACCGCGCGTACACAGGCACATACATGCAAGTACACAAGTTCATTAGCCAATACGCTAATTCTCACATACGCACGTTCGCGTACATACGCATGTACGGACATTCAGCTACAGACGCACATATGAAAACGTTACGACAAATGTGCTCAGGTGTGCATGTTTTCATCTTTACAAGCCTATAACGACGCACACGCAAAGGCATACGCGCACGCACCATTTTACGAACGACTGGCGGCCTGTTGGGGGAACTTCTCCGCCGCCATCTGCATCATCTTCTTGAACGTCTCCACATCCTGAGCCCCCGAGAACATCCGATGGCCGTTCATGTAGAAGAAGGGGACCCCTGTGAACAAAGTAAATACTTCTATTGTCCTTGGTCAGATAGGGGCCTGGTTACCCATGACATATTCACAGCATGGATGTTTTTAGACACCAATTTGAAATGGCACTGAGATGCATATACAAGCACTTAAAATGAATAGATGTTTTCTTCTTCAAAATTTAATTATGAGAACAATTGTGCCAACCTATTCGTAAATGTGACCTCATGTAACCAGGGGCCATGACTGTGTAAGGCATGTACAGAGTTACCGCCCTAGACAGCTAGGTTTGTCAGTGGTTAAATCATTGATGACTTACCCGAAACGCCTTTCTGACTCCATGACAACGCCCTTGTACGGATGTCCCGGATGACAACGTCGTTGTTGATGTAGGCCTTGACCTCTCCTCCCTCAAGGCCAGCCTCCTTCGCCACTCCCACTAGGACGTCATCGCCTAAGAACTTTCCTTTGGTAAAGTACGCCTAAATATATACAGGAACTTTCCTTTGGTAAAGTACACTTAAATATATGCAGGTGCTTTCCTTTGGTAAAGTACACCTAAATATATACAGGAACTTTCCTTTGGTAAAGTACATCTAAATATATACAGGAACTTTCCTTTGGTAAAGTACACCTAAATATATACAGGAACTTTCCTTTGGTAAAGTACACCTAAATATATACAGGACTCTTCCTTTGGTAAAGTGCACCTAAATATATGCAGGTGCTTTCCTTTGGTAAAGTACACCTAAATATATACAGGAACTTTCCTTTGGTAAAGTACACCTAAATATACAGGAACTTTCCTTTGGTAAAGTACGCCTAAATATATACAGGAACTTTCCTTTGGTAAAGTACACTTAAATATATGCAGGTGCTTTCCTTGGTAAAGTACACCTAAATATATACAGGAACTTTCCTTTGGTAAAGTACACCTAAATATATACAGGAACTTTCCTTTGGTAAAGTACACCTAAATATATACAGGAACTTTCCTTTGGTAAAGTACACCTAAATATATATACAGGAACCTTCCTTTGGTAAAGTACACCTAAATATATGCAGGTGCTTTCCTTTGGTAAAGTACACCTAAATATATACAGGAACTTTCCTTTGGTAAAGTACACCTAAATATACAGGAACTTTCCTTTTGTAAAGTACGCCTAAATATATACAGGAACTTTCCTTTGGTAAAGTACACTTAAATATATGCAGGTGCTTTCCTTTGGTAAAGTACACCTAAATATATACAGGTGTTTTCCTTTGGTAACGTACATCTAAATATATACAGGTGTTTTCCTTTGGTAAAGTACACCTAAATATATACAGGAACTTTCCTTTGGTAAAGTACACCTAAATATATACAGGAACTTTCCTTTGGTAAAGTACATCTAAATATATACAGGAACTTTCCTTTGCTAAAGTACACCTAAATATATACAGGAATTTTCCGTTGAAATGACAACAAACACACGAAAATGGCGCGACTGACACCAGACAAAATAAAACTCCATTTGAACATCCATGTTCCAAATTTATAATCTAGTAGAATCAGAGACGCTTGTATGAAAAGGGATATAAAATAATCGATTTAGCAAATAATGTATTGAAGTTTAACAGGAGCAAATAAAGGAACGCTGGGCTTACGTCGAAAAGACGTTCAGCTACGTCATTCTGTAGACTTTCCTCTCCCTTGTGTTTGGCAAATTCCATCAACGCATGCGCTTTGAGGGTATTGGGTACCACTGTGGCCTTATTGGTAAAGTCGATTCCCACTTCCTGTCCAGCTTGTTTCAGGTACTGAACCCTGCAATGGAGGAACATGTATAAACAACGTTTACCAAGTGTCAGCACCGTTTTAGCATCATACGTTGACGTCACAGTGAGATGACATCACTAATGTCTCTGGTACTGAAGCTGGTTATCAGCTGGGCGCGTTGGTAACTCTCAAACCGATGGTAACTCTCACACGTTAACATAGACTTGCAGCTGTCGTACAACTACCGTTGCTTTCATGAAAGGTGAATGAGTGAGTTTGGTTTTGCGCCGCTTTTAGCAATATTCCAGCAATATCACGGCGGATTTCATGAAATGGTCGCTTCACTGTTTACACACAAGACACTGTTATAACTCTTTCTAAGACGAGATTCTTGAGAGGCATTTAGAAGTTCGTGCATATATAAGGCGAAGAAGGGACAAGAAGTTGCCCAGAAACGATGTGTTATACAATAAACGAGAGGTTGACATCCATACATTCGCGCTCGTCTTATATCTTTCTAAGACGCTTCCGAACACGAAAGACATTGACTGTAAATTATCCACCCTCCTACCCAAAGTTCCATCATAGCGACCATCATAGTACCTCTGCCCAGGATTCGTCACACCTTACACGGCCCATTGCATATGTTTTGTCTGTTTCATTTTACAAGCCTGCACATCTAATAAAACATCTGAGATAGAATGGTTTACCCAAATTGAGAAAATATATCCTAAACGTAAAGTGATATTTCTATTAGCGTAGTTATCCCTTTGTTTACATGGGTTGTACGGTTCTACGTGTTGACATCGAAATCCCCATAGCTGGTTACCGGCTCCCTTTGCGCGCGCCAACTTGCATATTGCGATATGCGAGATGGAGCCCAGCTTACGAAATCACATTGAGTGCTAGTGACATAATCAGTTTGATGTGCAAATGTATATTGCTATGCACCTCATTGCCGCGGTTCTAGTGGTATATCTATTTGATATGCAAAACAATTATGAAAAACGCACCGAAAAAGCTTGCATTAGGCCGATCTGGTTTCAGAATGAGCGCGTTCCAAACAAGTCCGGTCACGTGATATGCAAGTTAGACTTTGCCCGGGGATGATATGCTAAGTTATCCTTGAGCGGGAGGGTGTAAATTATCCTGCTATATGATGTCTTTGAGTAGCATGAAGAAGCTGGTAGGAAGCTGGAAAAAAATTATGGACAGAAAATATGTACATGAAGGCTATTGGATTATATACAACTGAAAAGGTTGGTGTACAGTGAGTGAGGTTATTTTTACGCCGCTTTTAGCAATATTCAAGCAATAACACGGCGGGGGTACACCAGAAATGGTGGGGAATCGAACCCGGGTAGCCAAGTGGTTAAAGCGTTAGCTCGTCACGCCGTAAACCCGGATTCGATTCCCCACATGGGTACAATGTGTGAAGCATATTTAGTGTCCCCCGCCGTAATATTTATTGCTGGAATATTGCTAAAAGCGGAGTAAAACGAAACTCACTCACTCTGGGTCTCTAATAAGGTATGGGGGTTACGATCACCTATGCTTGTTTTACGCCGCACACAGCAATATTCCAGCTATATGGCGCCGGTCTGTAAATAATCGCGTCTGGAACAGAATACCCAGTGATCAACAGCATGGGCATCGATCTACGCAAGTGGGATACGATGACATGTGTCAAGTTTTCAACTAAGTCAGCGAGCATGGCAACCCAATCCCGTTGGTCGCCTCTTACAAGTATAGGTTGCGGAAGATCAGTTCTAACCAGGACCTTCACGGGCCTCGCCTTAGCGTTGAGGTCGATTTGTACAAGGGCACCAAGGTCTTCGATTCACACTGGTTACGCTATAGCGTGGTAGAAGCAGCTGGCTTGGTAAGCACAACATTTCATCACTTGAGGTTGCCACAGCTGCTAACGATTGTGGTGGAACCTAAGTGGTATATTTATGACAGAAAACACCCCGACTCACAATAACCAGAACCACAGAAGAAAAAACCCATCAGCGACTGAGAGTTTCCGCAGTGCTTACACGTGTTAGCCCGAACTCGCAATGTGTTTGTGGAATGTTTCAAGTAACGTTATAAGACCGAAACAAAATATTCACAACCTCGTAATGTAGCGGTTGTGACTATAGCCGATCACACACTGAGCGATGACACTATCACTAACTAGCACATTAGAATTATGAGTGAGTGAGTGAGTTTAGTTTTACGCAGCACTCAGCAATATTCCAGCTATATGGCGGCGGTTTATAAATAATCCGATCTGGACCAGACAATCCAGGGATCAACAGCATGAACATCGATCTACGCAATTGAGTTTCGATTACATGTGTCAACCAAGTCAGTGAGCCTGCCCACCCGATCCCGTGAGTCGCCTCTTACGATAAGCATGGGTTACTGAGGATCAATTCTAACCCATATCTTCACGGGTGGTAATGAAAGGAGTAAAATGTTACCTATTAATAAGAATTACATATAACTTTAAGAAAACACAATGATCATATTCAAAAGGGTCGATTTATGTCATCAGAAAATTAATAAATTAAGTCAGTCGAGAGAAACATCAGTATTTTCTGAGAATGCTGGTCCCTATTCAGACGCCAAGATTCGGAACGTGTAGCAAGGGAAGTAACTCTGGCGACAAACAATTTGCAATCCCACTTTTCGACCCAGGCTTGATAATAACCAGTTTATTATTTCTCTCTTTGATCAACACCTCAACTTTCATTCATGTCAATTATGTAGTTTCTGAGAAAATGTCTCCCAAATTCACGAGTTATGTACTCAAGTAAAAGCACGGAGCAAGGACCGTACTTAATACAAAATATTTTAAGTCACAGATTTTCGAATTCGATTAAGATACTAGTAATACTGTGTGTAAAATATGAATTCTCTAACTTAAATAGATGTTAGGAAAACAAGTCCCCACTGACTAATTTCCAATACCCCCGCCCCACGCGGGGATAAAATGTAAAACTTGAACAAACCATTTACGACGTGTTGCATTATGCCGAAAATTGTTTAGCCTCTTTACGTAAGGGTGCACGCTATTAAATGGAACAGCCCGTCTATAAGCCATGTTCGGGGATTACAGCTTAACGTCCCTGCTGTAACAAATTAGATTGTTAACTCATCTCTAACGCAGGGTTATTATTCAATCTAAGCTGGTAGAAAAATCCTAAAGTGATCTGCTTGATCTGTCCAGAAACGGAATCACGCCATCGTTTCTTTCGATACCAAAATAGCCGGGGTGGTGGAGTAGACTAGTGGTTAAAGCGTTCGCTCATCACTCTTTCGATGTTTGGTTTCCCTCGCCTTTTGATATTGCGGGAATATTGTTAAAAGCGGCGTAAAACTAAACTCACCCATTCAAAATTAGCAACACACATCGATTAAAGGTATTGACTCCCCGCGAAGCCACGAAGATATGAATCTTTATCGACCCCTGTAAACAAACTATATACCGAATTTCGAAAGCCAGCAGGTTAGGGTTAGGGTGGAAGCGCTGTTGTAGAGTTTGCAATACTGACGAGGCGTAAGATTCCATTCACTTCTTTATCATATAGTATAGCTGAAGAGATGGAGATGAACAAGACAATGAAGATAATGCCCCGGTTAGAGTATTTAATGTACATATACGTTTGAAAGTGACTTCAACACTAAACAAGTACACAATGTCTTTATCACTTTCAGTAGATTATTCAGATACAGGACACGCTTGCAAATAAAATTATATATCTTTATATATAAAAGTATGCCCAAATTATGTGACTATGCAGGACGAACCAAATACTTTGTTTCATTTTTATGTGAGCATGAAATCGGTATATATTTAAATACATCCAAGATGGAATTTAGTATTGACCGCATTTGAGGGAAGAAAAATTCCATTAACATGAAACAATGTCTATGAAATGGAACTGTCTATAAAGTTTGTTTTAATGAATAATCTTTTAATACTTCATAGAAAGAAACCGATATATTCTTTTCATTTTACTGAACTGAGTATTCTGGCATTCATTTACTTTACTGACTTGCTTTGAAGATTTTTCTAATATTTGTTTTTCGCCACAGACAAGGCGTCTTTGAACGTTTGTAGGCAGACCACATAATAGCCATGGCGATAGCTGTTAAAACTTGACAAAACACGATCATGCTAACAATTAACCTTAAGGTGAATATTGACATTATAGGAATATTTATGTCAAAGTCTGTAGCGGATGATTTTACGAATGTTTTACGTGATTCACGGGACGGATACTCTACACTTGGACAGGGGTTTCTTCTGTCACACAAAAGAAATGTTAAATACCATTAACGTTATAGAAAATACCAGCATTCACCATCTCAACAAGACACATGCATGACCTCAGGTGATCTACCGATATTTTATGAGTGCTTTAAACACTTAATTTCGTATTTATAAGTAATATCTGGTTATACATTATGTTTACACTTCAAGCATGCGACACACATTTAACTGACAATGCTTCAAATACGTCTAGATCTAGTTATGAAATTTACACCAAGAAGAAGGAATTTCAAAATCGCAAGTATTACATGATAGAACGTTCGATCGTCCTCTGCTTGTGGACTTTGACCTCTGGTTACCTGTCCAGTCTCAAACAATGAAACAAATCTATCTGTCATTCCCACTGACAACAACAAAGCGCTCCTCACCTGGGATTTGAGGGGTCTGTAAACATGGCGGGTTTGGGCATCCCCTCGAGAGGGGTGTTGGGTCGGAGGAGGAAGGGTTCCCATCGAACGCGGATTTCGAAGTTTTCCGCGAGATCAGCTATAGCGACCTCCAACTTCCTCTTGCCGACCCAGCACCAGGGTCAGATGACGTCGCTGACGACGTCTACATTGATCTGCGGCCGAGACGCCATGCTAACCACGAAGTATGTCAGCTCCTTGATGTGTATGTATTTGAGGGGTCGTCACCACTTCCTCGACGAACCACTCGCACAAAAACACTGGAGTTACCTCCCTTCCAAGGTAAACAAATAGCTCCTCGGCGCGTGACCTTATTAGCATCACGGTATCATTTAGACAGAGCTCCGCGAACGGGCTATCGCTGCGAGGAGCTTGATAAAGTCAGCTACTTGCTTCAGTTTATGTGAGCTGATCACATTCCTCATTGACGCTGTTTGGTTTATTCTCGGACGAATGCATGTGGCACCATTCTACTGTTGTAAGACAAATTAATCATTACAATGAAACCCAAGTTAATCCGGAAAGCCAGTTCTAGGGCGATGGCAGTTATTGTATTTAAATGACTCTTTCTACAAAGATCATTAGTTAATTGGGAAACAATAATTATTACAGTTATTGTCATAACACTTGATTGAAACCGCTCCGTCACAATAATCATTGGTTCATTTGGAATTTACCGTTAGCTTAAGTTAGTTGTACAGTCAGTCTGTGATTGTAACAGTATACCTATCACAGTACTGACATTAATCTATTAAGCCGACTTATCTTGTTTTGTTGTCAGTGGTTTTTGATGCAAATATCCAATTGCAATTGTCAGAACCATGGGGTTTCCTCAATAGAACAGATGTCAGCTGCCTGTCCTTGTCTCCTCGTGGGAATTTGAACACTGCATAGATGGACAGTGTTTAGTAGTTTCACATAGTTGGATAGTGTGTAGTAGTTCTAAATAGTTGGGTAGTGTGTAGTAGGCTTCACCTAGTTGGATAGTGTGTAGTAGTTTCAAATAGTTTGGTAGTGTGTAGTAAGCTTCACCTAGTTGGATAGTGTGTAGCAGGCTTCACCAAGTTGGATAGTGTGAAGTAAGCTTCACCTAGTTGGATAGTGTAAAGTGGGCTTTATATAGTTGAAAAGCCCGAAGTGTGTTCCATATAGCTAGATAGTGTGAAGTGGACTCCATATCGCTGGATAGTGTGAAGTGTGTTCCATACAGCTGGATAGTGTGATGCGGACTCCATACAGCTGGATAGTGTGAAGTGTGTTCCATATACCTGGATAGTGTGAAGTGGGCTCCATACAGATGGTTAGTGTGTTCCATACAGCTGGATAGTATGAAGTGTGTTCCATACAGCTGGATAGTGTGAAGTGGGCTCCATACAGATGGATAGTGTGAAGTGTGTTCCATACAGCTGGATAGTGTGAAGTGGGCTCCATACAGCTGGATAGTGTGAAGTGGGCTCCATACAGCTTGATAGTGTGAAGTGGGCTCCATACAGCTGGATAGTGTGAAATGGGCTCCATACAGCTGGATAGTGTGAAGTGGGCTCCATACAACTGGATAGTGTGACGTGGGCGCCTTACAGATGGATAGTGTGAAGTGGGCTCCATACAGCTGGATAATGTGAAGTGTGTTCCATATACCTGGATAGTGTGAAGTGGGCTCCATACAGATGGTTAGTGTGAAGTGTGTTCCATACAGCTGGATAGTGTGAAGTGGGATCCCTACAGCTAGATAGTGTGAAGTGTGTTCCATACACCTGGATAGTGTGAAGTGTGTTCCATACAGCTGGATAGTGTGAAGTGGGCTTCATACAGCTAGATAGTGTGAAGTGTGTTCCATATACCTGGAAAGTGCGAAGTGTGTTCTATATACCTGGATAGTTTTTAGTGTGTTCCATACAGCTGGATAGTGTGAAGTGTGTTCCATACAGCTGGATAGTGTGAAGTGTGGACTCCATATATCTGGATAGTGTGAAGTGTGTTCCATATACCTGAATAGTTTTAAGTGTGTTCCATGCAGCTGGATAGTGTGAAGTTGGCTCCATACAGCTGGATAGTGCGAAGTGGACTCTGTACACATCTGTGTGGACACTATCATGTTCAGTGGGGGATACACAACGCCCTACATTGCCGGCCCCTTTAAGGGCTCCGAGTTATGATTGGTCACCTACAATTGTCCTTGAAGGATAGATCTCATAGACCTGTTGGTAGGGTCGGTGACTGGGGTGACTATGTGTGATAGCGCACCAATGTCGTGGATCGCCGTCAATGATGTCAATCACGGGATCGTCAGTACGGGAGAATGTATTAGCTATTGTGATTTGCTTCACAGCGGCAATTTATTATTGTAAACCAAGTCACCGTGTTCTTTAATCTGATTGGTGAAAAAACATGATCGAATGGTATTCGATTCCCGGAAATTGCAAGACTATTCACTGCGTATTGACACGTACAAAATTAATATCGCACACAATTGAATTGTTGCGTCGTCAGCAGTGGTGACGTCATTAAAATGATATTGTGACATAAAGTCGGAATGACGTCACAAATGAGCATGCAGTTCCAGATGCTACTATGGGAACCAGCTGAAACGGCCGGCTGATGACACTTCACTGCTGTACCCGTACTGCAATGAGTGCAGACAGTAAAACCTATGGTTTACTTTTGTGTTTACAATGTCGATAAACATCATGTGTAACGCCGGAGGTTTCAAATGAAATATTCCCGTGCTTCAAATACTCAATAACACCCAGAAATTGGCCAACACATGATGTTTATCTCCGAAATATTACAATCTTCACGGTCTATCATTACTTTATTTCCGTCCGAAAATAAGAAAACAACTAAATAAATGTATAATGTTTTCAGGTATTTCAACTACTTTTAATGCAAATTAACAATTGTAAATATAAGTCAGGCCTTTACTTGGATACAATTGACACGTGGTATCAATCTCCTTTCTCTAGCCAATCAGATATAGTGTTGATGTTACCCTCCTCGTCACGTGACTAACATCAGCTCAGCCACAGGTAGTTTAATGGCTGTCGTCAAAGGGTCACTTTTCAAAAGGGAAATACCAACACTAACAAATCTATTGCTTCATAATTGGTCACTGTGTATATTCACTAAGATATAAATGTTTATATTCAGAGACTAAGCACTAGTCTAGAAAAAACGATGAACAAGAATTCGTCACCGGTTACATTAGTATAAGCTTGACAGCAGCGGGACAAACAATCAGAGTGTGGTGTAAATATGAGATCTTTGTTGAATGGTCGTCAGATGGTTCAACTCTGTGTTAGATCATTACACATTATGTCCCTTCACATCTGAAAACATAGAAAGTTTAAGTATAACTACGTTACCTGTACATTATCTGTCTGACAATAATAAAAGCTGACTGTAGACGTTTAAACTATTAAATCTGTGTCTATTCATTACAATCATGTCCATTGTTCCAACGTGAAGACTCACATACGTGTAAAGCCATCTTGCCCGCCACTAACCTCTCCCACCGGCCATCTATAGGTTTTATCTAGTAACCTTAAAAAGTAGGGTCTTAATTCTTTGTTGGCTGACATGTAGAGCAACAGGAACCCTGTGTCAATTATTATTTTATTGGTTTGTTTCTGTGTTTGTTTGTTGTTTTACGCCGCACTCAGCTATATTCCAGCTACATGGCGGCGGTCTGTAAATAATCGAGTCTGGACCAGACAACCCAGTGATCAACAGCATGAGCATCGATCTACGCAAATGGGAACCGATGACATGTGTCAGTGAGCCTTACCACCTGATCCAGTTAGTCGCCTCTTACGACAAGTAATGGTTGCTGAAGAACGATTCTATCCCGGATCTTCACAGGTATCTATTATTATTAGCGACGAAGAATGTGGACCACGTGTGAAATAACTACTGTTTGTTACATCTGTGCACTCTACAAGTTGGATGATTATAGATAGATGAAAAGATCATTGTCAAAGTATACATATAAGTGTATTAGGTAGTTAATTTATCATCAACAATACACACACAGACGCACAAACAACGGCAATGAACACACCGTTTTGGTTTTAAGGTGCTTCTTCTTGTGAAGTCTCCTCGGCCACCAACTCCATCATCTTCTTGAACTTCTCCACATCCTGCGCGCCGGAGAACATAGGAAGGTCGTTCATGTAGTAGAAGGGGACACCTGAAGTAGACCAAGTCAAAACATTGATTACAGAACAGTCTCGTTTCCTGCTGACTGGGTTCCGTCCTGTTGAGTAACTTAGTACAATAACCAGTCCAGAATTTTAAGACCAACTCATTCGAGTGGATATATAAATATTAATCAATATTATTTGATATATCTAATCACTTGTATATTGCAACAATATCCTTCTTCTAATTCTTGCAAACACGCCGTGCAGCGTGATCTGTCGTACAGGGTGCTCTGACAAACGGAAATCTGGAAATCTCAAAACGAGGCCCGGCCGCTAGAAACTTTGGCTGTCTGGTACGGACTTGATATTATATGAATCACATTCTACGTTACACGAATACACTTAATAAGCGCAAAGAACATATAACAGGTGTAACCAGTAAGCCAGATGAATTGTGAATCATTGTACGACCTCTTCAAACGGGCAGTCTGTGACGTCTTAATTAACGACATGCTGCCCAAACCTCGTCATAAAACATAGAAATACGAAATAATAAAAGTTAAAAATTATAATTCATGTGTAAATACCATTTTCTTATGAAACAAGGAATTGGAAGTTGGTTTAACCATAGATGTTTGTAGAGTCTCTTTTCACATACACGTGAGGAAATTCGGATCGGTTGAAAAGTAGGTCATTGTCCAAATAGGTTAATGAGACTCATGTTTCGGTTTGCTGCAGTTGTCAGTGGACGAAGCATGTTACAGTCCGTTTGATTCAGAAACGGACCGATGAATTGCAAATTTTATCATTGTACAAAATTGCCACATAAATATAAATAGTACACATGTTTATCATTTACTAATACCCAACAGCTTTCTTATATTTGAAAATTTTCCGGACTCCACCAAAAAAGTTCTTTACGAAACTATCATTAAAATCTTGACACAGTTCACTATTTGTTACGAGGGAGGAGTGCAGAGAAAGGGACAGCCAGGTGTGCGAGAAAGGATGGAGACGGCACAGCACAGGCTAATGAAACAATAACTTGGTGGGCACTTGTGCACGTGCTTCTCTAACACCTGGCTGTCCAACGAAAGGCAATGGCTGATTTCATTTTTCTTTCGGTTTAGAATGC